CAGTAGTATACATATTTTCCCACACCTTGGCTTTGCTTTCCTCTCTTTTTGAGGTGTCTTTGATGAGCAGAAGTTCTCAATTGTAATACAGTTGAGTTTAGCCAGTCATAGCTTGTGTCTAATATTTTTTCCAATTATAGTTAAGAAACGTTTTTCAATTCCAAAGTCATTGGAAATTCTGTATCATCTGCTGGAGGTTTTGAAGTTCTGCCTTTTGCTCTCTAGCACATTCAGAGTCTGCCAGGAGCTCACGAGTGTGGTGTCCTTGGGTAACCTGCCATCTCAGCCCCTTTGCTGAAGTCCCTCTCCCCACATACCCTGTTTTGCAGGGCCACCTATTTACACATCAAGCTTCCAAATCTTCGAGTGTCTGTTCCTGGGCTACCTTTGGTCTCCAAATTCCCACTTGTCTGAATTTGCTCTAAGGATAGTTGAAGACATAAGCAGATACTTACTTATGGGAATATCCACTGAAATTCTGTTGATAGCATTGAGAGAACAGGAAGCACTCTAAACATTCCGGCTGTGGGAAGCAGGTGAATGATGGAGGCGAGGGTGTGTAGGTGCAATGAGATACTCTATAGCCGGCAAAAATGCATTTGCTGATGTGGGTATATAGTGATAATATATGACAGAAAAAATAGCAAGGTCAAATACAGTATGTACAGTATGGATTCCATGTTCATAAAAAGAAAGTTATAAGTTGGAAAAAACCTGTCATTTTGCTTTCTCTTGTGCCAGTCACACTCAGGGTGATTTGATTTGGTTTCGACCCCATCAGGCCACCACATTCGCTCTGGCAGGTCCTGGTGACCCCCGGTGGCTGCATCCTTTATCCTCATCTCAGTTCCCATTTATGACCTCGCTGCTGCATTGGACAATATCGATACGATCTTCTTGACGTGCTCTCTCCTCTTCTGTGCTTCTGTCCACTGTCTTCTTGTTCTCCTATTCTGGCTTGCCTTCCTCCTTTCTGCCTGATGTTGATGTCCCTGGGTTCCCATTTCCCTGGGCCTCTGTGCACTCCATGCCTTCTCCTTGGGGGTCCTTGGCAAGGCATCTCCTGCATTGAACCTACGTTACAGACCCGCAGAGCGGGTTGTCTGCTTACACTGAATTCCCCTGGCTACTTTGAGGCTCACAGACTCAGCACGTCCAGAATGAAACCCACACCCTCTGCAACTGAGCCACACTCTTTGGAGTTGTCCAGGATTTCGGTCCTGTCTCTTCCTCTTCACCTTGGTCAATTGTCACATCTTTCTGAACATTCTCATGCCTATGTTCATTTCTCCCCTGCCACCCCAGATTCTTGTCACCAAAAACCCCCTTATGTGAGTTTCTGGAGTATTCTGCCATCCTCCACGTTTCAACCCCCTCGTCTTTCCCACTGTGGCCACAGTCAGCTTTCCAGAGTGTATTTCTGAGCCACCACTGGACTCTGTCCCTAGCCCTAAGAAGCAGCTGTGGGCTTCTGGCTGTCCAGCCCCTCCTCCCTGGCCTGCTCAGACACCTGTCGTCTCAGGCAGCCTCCCTTAAAGGGCATCGCTCACTGCCCTGTGCCCCACATCCCAGAGCACTCTGGCATGCACACATCTGTTCTTCTCTGGTCTGAGCTCCTGCCCATGTAGCCCTCAGCACCCAGTGTAGTGTCCAGCACCTGGTGATGTGGCCGTGTGTTGGAGGAAGGAGTGGAGGGAGGGAGGGAGGAAAGAGATCTTCACTGCCTTCCCAGAGAGGGGGCAGCTTCACCCTGTGACTGGGCCTGCTGGTCCCTTCCAGACAGAGAATGCCTAGTGGGTGCGTGTTTGACCTGGGCTTGGGGAGTCCATTCTGGACTTTTCTCTGCCTTGTGGTTTGAAGCCACTTTCAAAGGCATTCTTACAGCTGTCTTACTCTTAAGCAAGGACCACTGGAGGCTGGCGCTTCTCCCCAAGCAGTTCCACATGGTAGTCTTGGGCCTGTGGGTTGGGCATGTGTCTGTTGGGTCACTGGATGGCCAGGACCCAGGACCACACTCCAGTTCAGGCCCAGTGCTCTCACTAGCTTCCTCCAGGGAGCCCAGCATTGGGATTGGTGTCTCGCCTGTATTTGCGGGTGGGCACGTGTTCACATTCCACCTGCTGCTCTCTATCTGACTGGAGCTTGAGAGTTTTCTTGGTGCTGTGTGTATTGCAAATTTGCCTCTGCTGGGAATAAGGGCGTCCTAGACGGCTTGAACAACAGTCGGCCCATTGGTGTGTGCGTAGAACCCAACAAAGTGACTCTTAGAGTCCGGTGGCTTGGTATGGCCTGAGCGAACTGTGCAGGGGTGTGACCCTTTCACTCCTGACTCTGCTCTGGGGGGCAAGCAGAGGCCTTGTCAGCCGAGCAGCGTTTCCTGTGGGTGCTTTTCACAGCTGCCACGTGCAAAACACAGCACATTATTTTGAGTTGTTATTTTCTTGACCACTTTTGGTTCATTTCTTTTGACTAAACGTTTAAAAATATATTCTACAGCATATCTATAGTACTCACAAGCAGCAAATCAGGAGAAGAAATGCAGTTTGTGAGAAGGCTTCAAAGAAATCATGGTCTTTATCTGTTCCCCAGCCTTTTCCGCTGAAACCCACCAGTCTTTTTCTGAGCACTCTTGTTCTATAAATAGAGCGGCAGCTCTCCTTGGGCAGCCCAAGATCGCAGACTCTCATCCGCCCTCAGAAAGATTGTGCATGTGTGTGTGTGTGTGTGTGTGTGTGTGTGTGTGAAGTATATGTGGTGCAGTCAGTGAGCTGTGTTTTAATTTTGCTTTTCTTTTATGTGTGAGATGTCTAGCAGGAGGCACAAGAAAAAATACTCCAGCATCTGTCCTTTAAAGATAACATAACTTTTCTGGGTTTTGGCTTGTTGGTTTTGCTTTTTTTTTTTTTTTTTTTTTTCATTTCGAGAAGAGATGGAAGTGATTACTTTCCCTGCAGAGGTAAGGAAGATGAATGGGGGGCCAGGAGAGATGTCTTCACAGTGAGGCCTTTGAGATCAACAGACCGAGGGTCTCGTGGTGTATGTTTCAGGCTTCCATGGATGGCATTGTTCTGTGCAGATGTATTTGAAATGAGTGGCATCTATGTGTACTTGGATCTAAAAAGGATATTTGGAAACAAATACCATTTCCCAGTCCTTCACACTGAAGACTGGTTTCTGTCCTCTCATTACAAGGATCAGAGGCTTTCTCTCTGCCTTGATCATCCTTGTTCCATTTTGGATGGTATCTCAGGTGCTAGCTGTAGCCTGGGGATCCCTGCTGTCTCTGGGGGAGGGTGTGGGGATGGGGAAGTCACTTCTGGCAAACAAGCTCATCAGAATGCTTGATCGTTGGATAATGTTGGGCTCCTCTCTTTTTCCTTCCTGGCACTCTTTAATTACTGGGGAGAGGGTGGGTGCCTTCTTCAGAAGTATGAGGTGAATGTATAAGCCAAGAATGAGTCAGTAGATTCTTAAGCAGGTCTCCACTGCACTAATCCTCTAGAGTTGGAAAGGGCTGGTGTTGTACCACTGGGCCAGTGCTGAAAGCAGAGTTCACCATGATTGGCACGTGCTGGTGAGCAAGGAGCTCTTGAAAGTAAGTGGTCATGCATGCAGCCAGTTCCCCCCGACCCAGCAAGGGCACAGTGAGGATGGCCTGTTGCGGGATAAGGAGAAGAGACCCCTGGGCACTGTGCATTGGCCTGTGCTGTGCTGTCTGGGTGTGGTCCTGGTGCCTGTCTACATGTTGATGGTATGTGGGGCTGGGGGCTTTCTACAGTCTTCCTGTTCCATTCCCTCTCCTGTTGTGAGCGGCTGGTGGATGGACCAGACAGTGCAGTGTTCTGTTCTTGCATTCTGGTACAGGTGGGGACATGAGTCTTTTGTGACTTGCTCTTGCTGGTTTTATCTTAGGAAGCTTTAAGGGTTTGTAGATACCTAAGAACTTTGTACATGTGCTGTTTAAAACATTTACATCAAGTACAGAGGTATATGGGATTTAGTAATTAAGCAAAAGCTTCTCTGAATCAATGTGCTTGTCTTTGAACAGAATTTTTAGGAAGCCTCCCTCTGTTTCCATGCCGAAGCTCCTTGTGGACTGGGCATTGCTGTGAGCTGGGGCATAACATAGTGTGGGAACGCTGAGAGCCAGGTTCTTGTCTTCATGCGTGTCGCTTATTCTTTTTGACTGTGTTAATGGCTCCAAGTACTTCAAAACATCTCATGACCAAGTAGCTCCTTACATATTTGACATCTCGGTGGCATGGGCCACATAAGGTAGGGGAGCAGCTCTGGGAGAAGCAGTGCCCCTTTCGTTCTTGGCTTTAATTGAGCCAAGGTGAGGGGACTGTAGAATCCATTTCTGGATTCTCTTAAGAGAGTATCTTGTGTTACTGGGGGAACTCATCAGATTTTCGAGTTGAGAGAAGTTTTAGTGTCTGTGGCTGAGGTACTTCCCTCTCATGTGTGTGTAGATGCACACGCCCGGCCTGTGAGTGGTAGATTGGGCTGCGGGTGCAGGCCTGGAGCTGCTGAGCCTCAGAGCAACTGACGTAGAAAGCTTTGGCAGCAAGATCCTGAGAAATGGCAGGGGGCCAGAGAACACAGAGACAGGCCAAGAATAGCTGAAAAATATCAAATGCTGAAGTTGGAGAATGCACTGGCCCTGCGTCCCAGTGTCCTCCCAGCTGCTGTGTACTGTGGCCCTGTGAGCCTCAGTGTCCCTTCAGCACTCCTACAAGAGCATCCAGGGCACACCCTGGGCCCCTGACACCCCCACCCACACAGGCATGCATTGCCCCTTAGGGGATAAGATTGGTGCAATCCCCCACGCCCCCAGCAGCGCACTGGGCCTGTGCGTAGGTCAAGGTCTGGTGAGAGTGTGAGAAATATTTTCTCTTAGAGACAAGAATGTGTTTCAGCCACAACAGGGTGCGTTTCAGTCGGAAGAGTGAAAGGGCACCTTGAAATGCACATTTATGAATATGTTTCTGTACTTTCAGACCATCATCAAAGAGGGGATGCTGACCAAACAGAACAATTCATTCCAGCGATCAAAAAGGAGATACTTTAAGCTACGAGGGCGAACGCTGTACTATGCCAAAACGGCAAAGGTGAGGCCTCACGGGAGGTCCCGGGGAGGAATCGGGATGCTGAGTTCGTCCTTGTGTGGGAGAAGCTTCGATTTTCACATCTGTTCTTGCCAGTGAGTTTGTAACACTTTACACTGTCAGGTTTTGTCTCAAGGCATGCTTTATTTCTTATCAAAATTAATTTTTATTCGTTTTCCCTTAATGTCATCAGTAATGGGGAAAAGGAAAAAGACACAGAAATAGCCACATTACAATTGGATATCTTTCTTTCAGAAAGGTGGGGGGATCACAGGGATATAAATCTTATCTTCTTAATGTTAAATAATCATTTATGTATATTGAGCTTCTTTGTGCGTGAACAGAAATGGGAAATTCTTTATTTTTAGGCTTTCTTGCAATTAACCTTCTTTCTGTATGCCCTATTGTAGGTAGATTTAAAGCTAGAAGCACCAAGTGGGTGCTGCTAGAGGAGGGGGAGCCAGTGAAAGTCACAGATTACTGCCGTATTTAAGCACCGTGGTGTTAGACCTTCGGTGTTAGACTTTCACCAGTTGTTGGCTGGGTTTCTGAATATCTGTATTTTTGTGTCAGTATTGGTGTCATTAGTAATATTTTGATATTTAAGAAATCTGGAATTTGAATCATTTACATTTTGAGACATATCCCTAGAAAGTTATCGCATTAAAATTTGAAATGGAGCAAAGCAGCTTGTTTAGAGAGGATTCTGACAGCTTCCCTCACTTAAAAAAGAATGACAAAACAACCTTTTACAGTTAGTTCTTGGGGTGAGGGGAAGGGGAAGGTTACTTAAAAGATTGAGTCTCTTTTCTGAGTTACTAGTTTGATCTTCTCCAGGGTTCCGCATAGAGCCATTGTAAAATAGAGGGGATGGTATAAGGGAAACAGGAGGCAGGGGCTGTGCGCGGGGCCTGGGGAGAATCGAGAGGGAAACAGGGAGAGGTCCCCAGGCCTGATTCCCAGCCCTGCCCTGGAGCATCTCTCTCTCCAGGATCAGGCTCCTTCTGCTTTGCTCTCTTGTTTCCTTTCACGGCCAGACCCCTTCTAGGTAGACCTGTCTCTCTTTCCCATAAGAATTTGTTGTAGCTAGGACCTTCCCCCTCCATGTGCTCGCTGGAGGAACAAGCTGGAAGGACATAGAATCCTCAGTCCGGACCCCGGCCTTCTCTCAGCTAAAACACTGTGTGAGAACATACTTCACATGTCAAAGGGAACACTGGTATTGACGGTAGTAAACACAGAAATAACAGCATTGAGTTCTTTGCTTTGGTTCTCTCTTTTTTTTCCTCCACTAATACAATGTCAAATAAAGTTCGTGGATTAAAAAAAAAAAATCATCACACTGTACCTGTAAGCCCAAGCTTTTGGTTATAAGCAGGTGGGTGGGTTAATTTGGATTGGCGTATTGATTGGAGGCTACAGTTTCAAGGTACTTGGGCATCTGTGGGTGCTTGGTAGGGATCGGGGGTGTGGTGGGCAGCGCTGGTTGGTGCTTAGGGGTGTACCTGTCTTTTTGTGCCTTAGTCCCTGTGTTTGTCTCTTTCCAGTCAATCATATTTGATGAGGTGGATCTGACAGATGCCAGCGTGGCTGAATCCAGCACCAAAAACGTCAACAACAGTTTTACGGTAAGATTCCTGAGTCATGCCTTTCTTGATTCTTCACTGCAGTTGGCTTTCCGTTTTGATTTGAACATGTGTGCAAACAGTTCAAACAGTTTCATTCTGTTCTTTCTGATTGGAGCAATTGCTGGTGAAATTAGAATTTAATGCTAAAAGTAATACTGTGGTTAGAGAATAGGAGAATACCTGAGAAGTTGACATGCATAAGCACAAAGGACAATAAGGACCAAATAAATTTTTTAGTGTGTTTTGGTTCACGTCTTATCATCTGTGTGTAGAGTTTTGTTTTTGTGATTCATGTAGAATATTTGGAAAATACAGAAAAGTATGTTAACGCAATAAAAAGCAGCCACAATCCAGCCACCTCAAAACATAGAGTGTTAATATTTTGGTGTACTTATTTATTTTTTCCTTTTTTACGTTTAAACTTTCTTCCAAATTTATAAAAATTATATAGGACTTTCTGCGAAAGTTAAATGCACCAAATCAGGTGATCTCACCACTTAGAGGTGGCCAGGTGCTTACTTTAGAGTGTTTACTCCGTATATTTGTGTCTTTACCTTCATGTACCCATGAGATCATGCTGCACCTCTTTGTTTACACCTTTTGCCCCCACCGCGAAGACATTTTATACTAGACATTTTCTCATGTCAGCTGATGTAAATGTTCGTGATAGTATTAGTGGCTATAATAGCATTTCCTTGTATGGTTTTATAATTAGGCTTTCCGGGCTGACTTCAGAGCCTACCTGTATAAGGCATGACTCTAATAACAGCACTCGAAGTTTTAAAGCTGTTTTTTTAATGTCATTAGGCCATCCCATCTAGACATAAATATGCCTCCCAATTTAAAAAATTATTCTTTTATTATTCAGTCAAGGTCAGTCATTTCCCTCATGTTTAGGATCTGACATTTGGGGTTAGTGTTAGTTTCAGGTGCTTTCAAGTTTTGTTTTATTTACTGATGGATTCATTGTTGATGTTGCTGATACAAATGGATTTTCCTTCCTCTGTCTAAACCTCTGCTTATTTTGTGTTGATGTAACTGCTCTTGGTTTATTCCTCATTTTACTTGGAATATTTGTAGTTTTCTCTATTATTTTTACCAGCTGGGATTACTTTTTCTGAGATGGAATCTCCTTTTGTCACCCAGGCTGGCGTGCAGTAGTGTGATCTTGGCTCACTGCAACCTGTGTTTCCCAGGTTCAAGCAATCCTCATGCCGCAGCCTCCCCAGTAGCTGGGATTATAGGCGAATACCATTACGCCCAGCTAATTTTTGTAATGTTAGTAGAGACAGGGTTTCACCATGTTGGCCAGGCTGGTCTCAAACTCCTGGCCTTCAGTGATCTGCCTGCCTCAGCCTCCCAAAGTACTGGGATTGCAGGCATGCACCACTGTGCCTGGCTCTGAACATTAATTTAGATGTTCATTTTGGTTTCAGTTATTCGTGGATTTTCTAATAAAAAAATTATTCATGGCAATGTTGAATTTTATTCCTTAATCTTATAATTTAGAATTTTTCCTTTGGTATGTATGCATTTGTTTTGAGTAAAGAGGTCGCCTTGTTACACTTTTAAAGCCATTATTTTTTCTGTTTTTCATTTTAATGGATGCAGATTAGGTGGACATACTGCCTTTGCTGTGTTTTGATTTCAGAGTTAAACTAACCCCATAAAATTCATTTAGTAACTTGACATGAGGTTATGTTTTCTGCAACATTTTATGTAGCTTTGGGATTGGTTGTTTCTTAAGTTTGAGAGAGTTTGTTTTAAATTATTTGTCATGAAGACTTTTTAGGGAGGTTAAAGCTGTAATTGAAATAAATTCTAAGATATTTATTTCTTGCATTTTGATCATTTGAGCCTTTTTATTTTTGAGTCCATATCTGTAATTTACTTTCTCACTAATTCCACACCTTCAAATTTAGTAGCATGTACTGTTGTATAGTTTAAATACCTATGTCTTTGGTTAGATTTCCTTTGCATTTCTAATTTAATTTGAGTTTGCTTTTCTTATCAGATTTCTTAATCTCCAGCGTTTTTGTTTTCAAAGAGAAACTAGTTCTTAGATTATTGAACAATTCTACTTTTCTGTTTCCTTTCTTTCCTTCTTTTTTTTTTGAGACAGAGTCTCACTCTGTTGCCCAGGCTGGAAGACTGGAGTGCAGTGGCGTGATCTTGGCTCACTGCAACCTCTGCCTCCCAGGTTCAAGTGATTCTTCTGCTTCAGCCTCCTGTATAGCTGGGATTAGAGGTGTGCACCACCATGCTTGGCTGATTTTTGTATTTTTAGTTAGAGATGGGGTTTTGCAATGTTGGCCAGGCTGGTCTTGAACTCCTCACCTCAAGTAATCCTCCGCCTCAGCCTCCCAAAGTGCTGGGATTACAGGTGAGAGGCATTGTGTCGGTCCCTACTTTTATATTTTCTGATTCAATGTCTGCATTTTTGTGTGCTGTTTTTTTTTTTTTTAAGATGGAGTGTTGCTCTATTGCCCAGGGTGGCACGGTCTGGGCTCACTACAGCCTCCACCTCCTGGGTTCCAGTGATTCTCCTGCCTCAGCTTTGGGTAGCTAGGATTATAGGCACATGTCATCATGCCCAGCTAATTTCTGTATTTTTAGTAGAGTCGGGGTTTCACTACGTTGGCCAGGCTAGTCTCAAACTCCTGACCTCAGGTGATCCGTTTGCCTTGGCCTCCCACAGTGCTGGGATTATAGGTGTGAGCCACCATGCCTGGCCGTGTATTGATTTTTATCTGTTATAACTTACGAAATATGTTGTTCAAGTCCCCTTATGATCTTGTTTTTTATCGCTTGAACTTCCATAGGCTGTTAATGAGGAGTTAATCTCTTTCAGGCCAATTACATTTAACACTTTGTTCATGTATTTCTAGCAGTTTTCACCTTCTCCATTTTGAAGTTTTGTTAAGCATGTAAATGTTTAAAAAGATAATACCCTCAATATTGAGTAATCATTTATTAATAAAGATTAATAAAATAGTAGCATTCTTTTTTTTTTTCCTTCTCCAGACAAGGTTGCTCTATTGCGTGGGATGGAGTGTAGTGGCATAATTATGGCTCATTGCAGCTTTAAATTCCTGGGCTCAAGAGCTCCTCCTGCCTCAGCCTCCCAGTTAGTTGGGACTACAGGTGCTTGCTACCATGCCTGGCTAATTTTTACATTTTTTTGTAGAAAGTAGTTCTCACTATTGCTCAGGCTGGTTTCGAACTTGGCCTCAAGTGATCCTCCTGCCTTGGCCTCCCAAAATGCTGGGATTAAAGGAGATCTTTTTCATAGTGAATAGTTTGTGTCATTAACCATTCTCTGATATTAGCATTTCTAAGTCTTTTCTTTGTTTAGAATTTAGTTGATATATATACCTCCCCCCTCCGCTTTCCATCCTAACTTTTATCTTTAGTTTTTCTTATTATTTTTAATTTTTTTTTTTTTTTTTTTTTTGAGACATTGTCTTGCTCTGTATCCCAGGCTGGAGTGCAGTGGTCCTGCCATGGCTCACTGAAGCCTGGACCTCCTGGGCTCAACAGATCTTCCTGCCTCAGCCTCCCCAGCAGCTGGGATTTCAGGCATTGCCACCACACCCAGATGATTTTTTATTTTTTGTAGAAATGGTCTCTAGACTAGCCCTGGCTGGCCTCTAACTACTGGCCCAAGTGATCTACTGCCTTGGTCTCCTAAAGTGCCGGTATTGCAGCCATGAGCCAGTGTGCCTGGCTGAGATTTAATTCTTGTAAACAGTATATTGTTAGAATCTGTTTTATTTTAGTCAGAAACCCTTTGCCTTGTAAATACTACGCTTCAGTTATTTTCTGCTGTCAGGATTCTTGCCTATCTGATTCCTGTGTTTTGTGGCTGAACGCATTGTGCTTTCTTGTTTATTTATTTATTTATTTTTGAGACAGGGTCTCGCTCTGTCACCCAGGCTGGGGTGCAGTGGGGCAGTCATGGCTTACTGTAGCCTCAACCTCTTAGGCTCAAGTAATCTTCCCACTTCAGCCTGGGATAAAATAAAAATGATCTGGCCACACGTGACCATGCTGGGATAATGTTTGTATGTTTTGTAGAGAAGGAGTTTTACCATGTCACCCAGGCTGTTCTTGAACTTTGGGGCTGAAATAATCCACCCACCTCGGCCTCCTGAAGTGCTGGAGTTACAGGCATTAGTCACCTTGCCAGGCCATGCTTTCTTATTTTAATGCTCTCGGTACCTCTCTTTTACCTCTCTTCTGTGTCGTCTCTCAAAACGCAGAAGAGCTGAGCTCCCCTCCTCTTCCGTCCCCTCTTTTTCTTGTTTTCCTTCCTTTTCCTTTTTTTTTTCTTATTTTAAGGGACAGGTCTTACTCTGTCACCCAGGCTGGAGTGCAGCGACATGATCACCATTTACTGCAGCCTTGAAATTCCAGGCTCAAGTGATCCGCCGGCCTCGGCCTCCCAAAGTGTTGAAATTGCAGGCATAAGCCACCACGCCGGGCCAAATTTTCTTACGCTAGACCTGTTTGTAGCCAGCCCATATGGTGACATCCTTTTTTTGGTCAAGCTTTGTGTATTACTGAGTGTTTAGTTGCAGAGAACATGCTACTCAGTGCTTTGTTTCATGGCTGTTACCAGTTCATATCAAACCATGAAAATGAAAAAGTACTGAAGAACATGGAAGAAAAAGAATGCAGAATGGTCTCCTTTCCAGAAAGGAGTCATATGTGGTATTTTATTAGCGAGCTCCGAGGACATAGTGTTTCCCAGTGTTGGTGCTGCAGGGGCTTTGGGAGCAGGCTCAGTGCTCTTGCTGTCTTTGAAGTCATTTCTGCTCGAAGTCTCAGAGTTGCCTTCTCTCTTGTGTGATGCTGGTTTTGCTCACTGGTTGGTCTGGTATAGAGCAAGGCTGAGTTCCCGACTCAGCTTTGGGTTTTCCAGCTTTGAAAAACTATTTCTTCTTTCTTTTCTCTTAACACTTAAAAAGAAAAAAGAATTCTGGTTCACGGCAGGGCTG